AATATTTCAAAGTTTGGGTATTCAAGATTCAGATAATTACAAAAATAACTACGGTATGTGCAACAACCATTTCTTTATCACAGAACCCAATTTTAAATAAAAGTACTCTCCTCAGAACAAGAACACAAATTTCACTAGGACTGTACGTGAGGGTTTGATTATATCTTTATTGATGTAATTTGTAAATATAGTACTAAGAAAATGGAGTTCTTAAAAAGAAAAAACATTATTTTTCAATAAAAAGTACCACTTTTAGTACATAAACAAAATTCCAGTTTATATCAGCACAATATGAACATTTTCCCCACACAGTACTTCCCAGAAAAAATCCTTTTTTTAGAAAATGTTAATTTTTTATTTCTACATTTTTTCAATGAGTTATGAATACTAAGATTAGTAATTACTAGCACAAACAACCACCACAGGGCATCATTTCTGCTAGTTATGATAAACTTCACAGTTCACCCTTTATGTAAAGCTAAGAAGCAATTAGTCAAAAACAAGCATATAACATGTACTTTAATGCTGCCTTCTCTAATACAGTAAATATAGGGTTGAAAATGAGATAAAAACTGCTTAGGTGCACCATGTATTCTGGAATATAAATCCACAATCTACATTTTGATAGACTGAGCTCACATTAACAAACCAATACAAAATTGATGTTACAGAAGCATTAATACCACAAAATACAAAACAATTATTCTGTTAAATTAGTATATTTTTTGTGAATAGAAGTGTCTTAAATATTTACAAATCAATTTGTACGCAGTCTGTTCTTTTCAGTCAAAATTAAAGTGTCTTCTTTAGATAATATACTAGTATAATTACACCTGGAGTAATAATCTTGTATATACCAACTTGCTGTTTCATATAATGAGGAGAGATGTATAAAAAATATATATTCTACAACAAATTTTCAAATGTATTTGCATTTCTATTACAAATGAGGATAAACATACCGTGTCTTTGCTTTGTTTTGGGATAAAAGCCACTCTATTAGTTCACTTCCTACAATGCACATGGGATAATTTCGAAGTCGGTGTCGATGATTCTGAAAATCCAGTCCATTCACTGGATGCTGTATTTGAGCCCAAAGTTCTTGTAAGGCAATATGATCCTGATAATAAAAAACAAAACTATAGCTTGAAATAGCACAATAAGAAACTTTAAGTTAATTTCTGAGTTCTTTGTTGTCACTATGTAAAACAGTTACTGAAACACAACAATGTTATAAGATAAATGGTACAAATCAAATAAGACTTACTGGTGAAAATGTCTGCCTTTGTGGAGATAATGCAGTAAGATCTGGTGTGGATGAGAATTCACTAACATCTGTTCTACTTGAAGACCTAGAACCAAAATTTACATCATCTTCCAAAATAATTCAAATTACAAGTTTTCACACAGTTCAATATTACTGACACTTCTTTCCAAAAAAATAAAATTAACTCAAAATAAAATATACTTACACAAATAAAGACTAGGAAACATGATATAAAAGTATTGTATTCTAGTTCAACCTTTAAAACATTGAATTATAATTCAGCATGAACCAGACCTTACATGTTGAAAGAAACATACAGAATTTAAAACATAAAAACAAACACTACATAATAAAGAATCAGCCCTTGTCTACTCTTTCTGGTGAAACAACCATTAATTACATTTCAAAACAGTGAACAGGGTATAGCATATGAAGGTCACTGAATTGGTAAATAACTGGAAACATATCACACGGCTGCTTCAACTGCTTTAGAAATTACGAAAGGTTAATCCCAGGAATTTTCAATAAACAGTCTACTTTAGTAACATAAAAATAATTACATTTAAAAGAAAGTGGTCAATATTTTGACCACGTATGATCTACACTGATCCTAAAGCCAAACTTGAAATATAACAGGAGCTCTAAGACTAATGATGAAGAATTAGCTGATTTAATTACCAGTTTTAGTACTACATTTAAATGTGGTTAGCACAGAAACATATATACATATGTACATGTGTATGTATAGGATGCTTTGATATGGCACACGTCAGAATGAGTTAGAACTTTCTCCAAGGTGTGTAACTTTTGGAATTAGTTATTTATCATGATAGAGTATACATTAATCAAAACATATCAAGTGTTCATTAGCAACCAGTCAAAGCTACCATTTTGTACAAACAACAATCAAGATGTTGCACACAGAATGCTATATCAAACCAAAAATATTGAATATATATAAAAAAAAGAAGAAAATATATGTGAAGATATTAAGATAGAAGAATGTGAAGAGTAAGTTATAAGAAAATTTAGTGGAAAAAGATACAGAGAAAGAGTAAAATAATGTGTGTTTTTCTTATAGTAAAGCTACATCAGGCTATCTGCTGTGTCCACTGAGGGGAATTGAATCTATGATTTTAGCATTGTAAATCCAGAGACATACCACTGTCCCAGTGGTGGACAAGAGTAAAATAAAAATGGCAGAAAGATTTCTCCAAAAGGTGACGAAATAAGTGAGAAAAGATGTACAAGGAGGTTAAGAAGCACAAAACAAATTTAAGAAAGAAGAATATTCTGTGATAGATGGACTCAAACACACAGTATAGATATGTGCTCAAAACTGTTTGTTAGAAAAATTTTATTTAATAATACATGGAAAATGAAGGAATTTACTTTAGACTGGAGAAAAGCGATAATAATAATGATTTTCAAATCTTGGGATTAAGATGAAGAAGGAAATCAGAGAGGAATATCTTTGATATCATTAGTGTATAAATTACATATAATTATGTTGAGAGAATGTAAAATTTTACCAAGAGGTCAGGTGGAACTGAGAAAAGGGAGGGACACACTTAATAATATATACATAATGTGAGCATTAATTGAGAAACAGTTGAAAAGAAAGAGAGTGGAGTTTATTGAGAAAATTAAAAAAAGATAGTGGAGAGAAATATAATTTAAAGGTTAGACTATGAAGGAAAGAGTTGGAAATGATGGAGCACGTGACGTGCGACAACTGGGAGGCGTGGCTGAAAAATAAAGAATAGTTGAAACAAACAGAAAAAATAAAACAAATATTAGATCAAAAGGTTAAAGAGAAAGAAGAGTTTAGAGGAATACAGATGGAAAGAAAAGAAATGATGAACTATAGTGTTTATTATCTGCGTACAGCTTGTCTATATTTTATTTTTATTATTTAACCCTCTCGCTACGGGCATCCTTTTCTGTGCACGTCAGAAGGTTTTACTTAGCTACATTTAATATTTAATTAAAGTAATTTATTATTGTGGTATACAAATAAACTTCATATCAAAATATAGCTAATAAAAACTTATATAACCTTAAAATTTGGATTGAGTTCTTAATTTTAAAAAGTAATACAAAAAAAAAATCATTGATTATTCCTTGTATGAAAATTGTGTCAATTGCTCCCTTGGTATCCCCTCTTCTCTAATCTATTTGCCACCCCTCTGAAAAGTATGAAATTTAATGTACATTACTCATTATACTGTTAGTGTTGACATCAATCAGGCAAAACATAACTTTTATAGCCTTCAATCTTATTTGGTTACAGAGCCATAAACTAGAAAATCAGATCCCTATTGCCACAACCACCTGTCACATCCTCTCTTCACAAATTTCCAATAGTTCTCTCAGATGTCTAATACTATATTATTTTTAGCCAATAGAAAGCCAAAGTTTTCAATTTATCAAATGATGCATTATATTACATTGTTTTCTGTACAGAGAATTGTCTATTTTGCTTCCAGTTCAAACTTTATTCCTGCAGGAAATACATCAACAAGCTTAACTTAATGTTTAATGGCTCTTGCCACATTGTTAGAAAGCCAGAAAAATTATGAAAGTTACAGGATAGTCTACTTTTGTTCAGTATTTTTCAGTGCATTATTTAATTACATGAAAAATGACTTATTGCATTAGTATAAAAAGTAGGGTTAAGTTCCATTGACAGTTGACATCAAAAAAGAAAACCCAGGTAAGTAATATATTTTTTATTTTTCATGCATATTCTTTATTTATTGCTAAAGAGTAACTAAAATGTAAAAATTAGAAAATTTTAAGGTTAGATTAGGCAAAATATATAAAAACAAGAAAGGTGATAAAAGTTTCATGAGGTATATTTGCAAGCAACTCTAAAGTAGCCCATTCATTATGTAATATGATAAGGTAACATTAGCTACACAGTCACCAAACAATTTACAACTTAAGTGGTGGGAATATTAGTTAGACACAGTTCAAAGGGCAATAAAATTTAAGTAGAAACATATGTAGTTATGTTACAATTTCAAGTCATTCTAGAAAGAAAAAAGTGTAATTTAGATTTACTTTGCATTTTTTTATGATGGTTACAATGTCAGTCAAAGTGACCAACCTCGTATAGAAAAAAAGTAGAGAAAATAACCAATAAAATATAAAGTTTTACTGAAAAAAAAATGTTTGAAATATATTTAAAAGGTTTTAGAGATTTTGCAAATGAAATCTGAGAATGTTCAGATGAAGAAAAGTATTTTTAATCTTAACATGAAAATCACTTTTCACTCACAGCGGTCAAGGTTTAGACTACATATATATTCATGGAGAAATTTTTAGTTAAGATACTACATTAAAAATTCTGATTTTTTGTTTACAAAAGGCTCTTAATGCTTACTGAAAGCTGGCAATATTTCATGAAGATACAGGAAACATATTACAAGTTATAGTATGGAAACTCTAAAGGTCAATTTGGAGTCAAGATTTATGTCAAATCAACTGAGTGTGTAGTGAGAGTATTAATTTGCTTTTCATATTGTATCTTAGCCAGTGTTATATTTGATCTTTAGTTTTATTTATTATATAAATTTATCATATTATATTATTACATTATCAGCTAAATGATTTCTTTAACCAAAAAGTAAGAGATGGCAACTCCCACCTTTTTTTAAATTTGCCGGTGTGAAAATAAAAAGGTTTTCATTGATTCAAAAAAAAAATTTCTCAACTATCTCGCATTAGCTATACTGGCACTGACACGATGATGATGATAATGCCAAATTGATATCCTAATCAAAGTTTCACCAAGGAACATAAAGCATGGGATGACTAGTTTTAGGATTTGCATTCTGAAAATTAGTTATCTAATAAAAATGCAATGATAAGGTATCATCATCCTTGCATTTTAACCACAATAAGTATTTTTGATGGAAAAAAAGTTACCACAAAAAAATTTGGTTACTAATTACATAAAACTACCATAATTCTTTTTAAGGAATCTGGTTATTTTTCTATACTGTATATTCAAAACACTAATCCAGCTTACTTTGCTTTTGCTATTTCTTCTTCTCGAAAGCCAACAGAATTTTTCCTTCGAGATGGTCCCCACATACCAAGTTCTGGTAGACTTCCACTTGAAGAATGACCCGGTAGAAAATTGAGCTTTTTCTTCAAATCCTCCAATGCATAACGCATATCTCCAGACAACTCCGCATCAGATCCAAGAGACTTCATGTAGGAGTACACAACTTTACAACAGTACATGCAGACTCTAAGATCCCCTAAATGGTTTAAAACAAACAAAAATTACAAATGTATCATCACTGTAGAGAGCCAGTAGACAGTGGCCAGGAACATACATTTATCAAACAAAGATTAAAAATTGATAAACTTCAAAACCATCACTTTTAGAGTTATAATGAAATTCAAAGACATAATTCTTTCTAGTATGACTTTAAGCTACATATCTCTTAACTTTTGCCAAGAATTACACCTTTTACTGTCTCTCTGTTCTCTAATTCCCATGATCTTATCCATTATTTGTAAGCATGTAAACTCATACAAAGCCTTTTTTGTGACAATATTTTTAAGGATAGATATTCCATGACTAATGTCCTACAATGTTTGGAATAATACGAGAGCTAGTTGAGGATAGCATTCTGATTTTTGGTGCTTCTAGAAAAACAAATAAAATTACATTATCTGAGCCTGGAATTCTCACAGAGCTTGCCATCCTTGTTTTAGTTATTTCAATATTGAAAACAATGTACTATTCCTGTATTTCTTATTTCAGTGTTTTGGCTATTTTCTCAAGTTTAATGCCCAACACTAGATGAGCAAGTGAGAAACTGTGTATAGGTGTGTGTGTGTGTAAAATTGATTCTTTTCATTAACATTATTACATATTTTATTCTTGCTTGAACTTAAATAGGCATTTGTTCTACAAAACTGCTGTTCAGCATCACCATATTAAGAAAACAAAAAAGCCCAAGAACTAATGCAGATTTTTTTTGTCTTGGTTGGATCATTAACTGTCCAATTGGCAAGGTGACCAATTCCTTTATGTGATCTATCAATGAAAAATATTGTAAAACTACTGCTTCTTTATAAACATTTTGTAAAATCCTGCAGCTTGCATGAACAAAATCTCCCTATCTTATGCAATGGGCTAAGTTAGAGATACAGTGCTTTCCAAGTGGAAACTACAGTTAGGTGAATATTCAATTTGGAATTGATCGGGGAACTATTTTACACATTTTGGCATGAAAAACTTCCAGATTACAATCATAGTTGTAGATAAAAACCTGTCAAAGGTTAGATATATATAGACAAAGACGTTAAGAAAGGTAAAGGAGAGACTCAAAAATCTCCAGTTATAAAGATAGCTGCAGGTAGAGCCTTAGAGCATCTGGTGTAAAGAATCTTCAGAACAACACAATGAGAGTGAAGCTTAATAAACTTCCCCAGAGAAGAAACAGGCAATTTTAGAAATACTAACTCTATGAAGGGTATAAATAAATATCCACATAAGCCTGAAGAGAAGCAAGCATACTGACAGCTCATAAATCACAAAACATGCAAGACATAAACGAATATATGCTCTTTCTTTTATATCCAACTTCACCCCAAAATAAGTGACTATTCACAGTACCAAAACATTAGTTAATGAGTACAGCATATTTTGACAGTTAGCCAGAAACAAAGTCAAAATCACAATCATAGAAAAGCAATTTAAAGACCAAATCACATTTTCAAACTGACATATGAGTAAAGCACCTAACCAACATGTCATCCAAAGGTAAAAAAACAAAAATGACAAGACTCTTCATGTTGCTAGACTAATCAAGCAAACTGCCAGCAAATCACGACAATGCTTTTCTATACAGAAAGTATGATCAAGATACCTTTGTGATCAATAAAAGTATTACACTTTGAAAAGATGAAATGGCATTTTTTAATCTAAGTGCATTATGTAAAACCCTCATTTAATTAAATATAGGAGTTCAGTTATTTTCATAAAATACAGTAATAGAGTTATAAAAAATAAAAGGCAGTATAAATCATGCATAAAAAAACTATACATGAGATACACATTTTTTTTTGCGGTACTGTATTATGTTTTTTATAAAATGCCTGTGTAATAACTTTCCTTCATGAAAATGCTTGCTATAAAGGATGTCTTCAAAAGTTTTCACAAAAACTATTAATGGTGTAACCACTGTAGACTATCAGTGAATGTCTCCTGTTAGACAGGCAAAACAAATATCTGAGAAACGTTTTGCTGTGATTGACATATAATTATACACACTTCCAAGCATTCTTTGCTTTTACTCAAAAGTTTATATTAAAATATCTGACATATAATACTTTTCAATAGTTTTCATACACCAAAGAATTTTTGAACACAAGAAATAAAATTATATCTTTATGAGGCTTTATTTAAGAAGACTAAAAAAGTTACAATAATCATGATGTTTTAACCTGCAACCCCCATAATCTTTCCTGGAATCTCTTGATTACAACAACGGCTACAGAAAATCTGTCCACAGATTCGACAGTGATGACGACGGCGAAAGGTAGTGAATTTGTCTCCACATTCATAACATTCTTTACAGTTGCTATCTGGCATCCAATACTGCTTCAAGTCACTGTCTTTGTAAGATTGTGTACTCTGTAAAGATGCAATTTCCAGTGATATTCAAAGTACACTGTAGGTTTAAAAACATACAAAGCAAAGTTTAATACTTCTTAATCTTGTTTACTGAGTTTCATACTAGGAAAGATGGGTTAACAATAACAGTAAAATAAAAAGAGAATGCAATGCTTTTAAAAAACAATTAAGCAAAAGTGAGCTATATTACTCTCCAATATACAAGTCAGAAAACTGAAATAATCAGTTTACATACCTGAAACTTGTACTACTAACCAGGAATTTTTCCAGAGCACTCTCAATTCCTATATATATTAATTTTGCCAAAGCTAAACGAGTCTTTGTGTCCACTAGAGCAGTAGCCCATTAGTGGTTTCCCATAGAGCTAACATAAATAGCACATAATTGTGGTGTATCATGTTACACACATGCTTAATCTCACAAAATTTTAGATGTTTTATTTAACTGAAGTTTGGTTAGCATAAACTGATAAGTTTCTAATTTTTACATTTTAGTTACCCATACATAAAAAGTATACAGCAATAAATAATATATATATATATATACAAAAACAAGAATTTTTTGTACTTGCTGTGTACTTGAGGTCATTTTCACTCGAGTAAAAAGTAACAATGAACTTATGTTAACCTTGTTCAGTCTCAAATTTGAATGTACAAAAACAAATTAATGTAGCTTTCAAATAAGCATTTTGGAACACAAAAAATATATCAATCACTAAAACAGAATGTTCCAAAACTACTACAATTCATCCAGCATTCTAAGTAAACTATAAATACATAAAAAGAAAACTCCTTCAGCATTTGGAGCAATAAACTATGATCACCACCAAAACCAAGAAATTACATAAAATGTTTATTAGAAGGTAAACTAAACAATGACTCCTAAAATTTATGTAAAGCAGGACCTACAGTTTCTATTGGTTATCAACATGTCCATCAGTCATGTTAAGTTGATTAGCAAACAATTTCAAAAGTCAGAAAAAAAAGGGAAGGGGCTTCTCTGATGAGTATAACAAATTTATTGATATTTTGGCAAATCAAGAAAGTAGAAGGTTCAAATTTCAAACTCTTGCTTGTAATTATGTGTATTTTCTGTTTGTAATTGGTTGGAAACTGCAGCAGTCTATATTTCACGCTAAAATTTTTTAAAGACAAAAATCGGATCTCAGACAAATCATGTGACACAGAAAAATGAATATTAAGATTTTAAACTTTTTTTTTTAATCAAAAAGGTAAAACTTAATACAATATACAAAGTTGAGTTATAAAGTATATTTTTGTACAAAGTTTATTGAAGTATATTGATAATAAAGTTGTTAAATTAAATTTTGAATGTAACACTAACATGTAATGATGTGCAAAAAGGTCAGGCCTAAATTCAGAGTTTAAAAAATGTTGGTAAACCTAATAAACATATGTTAGTATGTAGCCTACAGTGTGCCTTGTAGCTATGCCAGAATATGTATTGGACAAAGTGGAAGAACCAGTAAACAATAACTAAAAGAACATCTAGACACAACATGACTTCTGCACCCAGAGAAGTCAGCCATATGCATAACATAATTCAAAAAATATAATGGAAAAACACAAAGCATAGGAAATCATTCTCACTGTAAGACGATTTCTGAGTTAGACAAGGATTAGTAGGATTTGATGTAAAGGCCTTCAGATTAAATACTATGAACTGTTTGCATTCCACCACTATATGGAGAGCTTCTCTTTGGTTTGCATTCCCAAGCAAAAGCCATGATTCAGCGAAACTATATCTATGGCAGAGAGAGCAGCAAATCAAATAATAGATTAAACTTCTACATTATTTACAGATTCTTTCTTCACTGAAATTGTGAGTTTTAGTGAGGAAAGGAAAAATTCACAAATGAGTCATAAAGCGATTATTGGCTGGCAATAACCCGTAGTATGGGGCTACTAATGAACTGAAAATTATAACAGTCTAATTTTATTAATGTATGTTGACAAAGTGCTCACTGTATTGAATTTATGCTTAAATTGCCTTGATTAATCCATAATAGGATGTTAATATAGAAATAAGAGTAAATGACTAGTAAATACAGCAAAACAGTGCTAAAATATCAAATGTTAAACTATGAAAAAATGTTATTGAAACCTGCAAATATACAAGTTTTCAGCATTAAATTTTCATTTACAATTTATTTAGTAGAGTAAAATACTCATTAAGTGAAAAGTTTATCTAGAGCACTGATAAAATATTGGAGAATGAAGATCACCAGAAATCCTGCAAAATTAAAGAAGGGGTCAAAATAAAACTATATAAACAAAACATTAACACAGACCAAAGACTAGGCACAATCAGCCTTTCTAACCATAGTATTATTTTTTAATAAAACATGGAGCAACAGATTAAGGAAACAAGCTAAGGCCTAATTAGAAATCAATAGAGGATTATAGAAAAAGAAAAAAAGAAAAGAACCATCATTCTCACAGCCAATCAGGTATCAACATTCTTTTTGAGATTTTTCTCAGGATCACATCACTGTCCATGTTTATAAAACAGTTCTTAATTAACCCCAGAGATCTGATGAAGAACACAGCACCGAGTTCAAAATATACTTTCCAAAACTAGATGGATAAAAGGAGCAGTAGACATGAAATTATTCAACATAATTATGTATATTCACCAAGTTCTTGCGGTCTATTATGTTCACTATTCTTCGAAGTACGTTCGTAACATTTCTAGTGTAGCGAACATCTTGCACTTGCACATCCTGGGTATCTGCTGCACTGCCATCTGAGTGTGTTTCAGACCAGTCTCTCGATTTCAGGGTACGACCATTTAAACTATCGTTACTAACACTGTGAGATAAGAAACCAGTGTAAATTATTTTATGCCCACTAGACCATGGTTCTGGTACTGATGTTTTTCTTGTTTCTTCATCTTCGGGAGATGAAAAAACCTCACTGGAACTTCTATCAGTTTCACTTTTTTTAATCTCCGGAACTTTAAGTGTAAGATTTTGTTGACCTAAAAGTAAAATACATCTTAAATTAGCTACAATTCATAAATATTATATGCATAAACACACCCAAAATCTCAAATTTAAAAAATCATTACTTCTCTGTCTATGCCTATTTACATGTAAAATATATATAGAAATTTATACATATAAATGACAAGACATATGAAGTTTTATTCATTTCTAAATACATTTATTATTATTGGAAAGATAACCCAATATAAAAATATGCCCTTTATTTCTTTATAATATTTCATGTTACTCCTTGTTATAACTCTTCCTCATACCTTATGATGTATACATATAATCACGTGTTTTTCAAAGTGAAATAAATGGTGCACTGGGTAACAACTGGAATATATCAAGTTCTATATGACATGTAAAATAAACATGGAAGCACAAAGACAACAATACAGGGGCGAGTATTTTTATTTACATTACTTTTACTTCAGAAGTATTACTTCGTATTTATGATTCAAACAGCTAGAAACACCCAAAATGGTAAGCGGCACAAGAAAATGGACAAGTTGGAAAAATGCCACACTAACTTTTAGAAATAAGGTGACAACAAAAATTTGTTACGGGAACCCAGAAGATAAGACTATGATGTAAAATATAGCAATTTAAGTTCTAGGAATAATGTTAAACAAAGTCATACAAGTTCTCTTTATCTCTACTCCACTGACCCAGAAGATAAGACTATGATGTAAAATATAGCATTTAAGTTCTAGGAATAATGTTAAACAAAGTCATATAAGTTCTCTTTATCTCTACTCCACTGTGTTAATATTGAGTCCTTCACAGAAGCTGGCCCTTAAAGGAATGTTATATTATTCGGTGCTACTATAGCGTGAGGTCTACCGCCATATGTCGCCTACCCAGGTCTATCAAACATGTATAAAAATG